CGCATTCAGGCACATCCCGCGACCTTCACCAGATCGTCGGTCCACCCAATGAGAGGCCTGCCCACGACGAGCCGGACGACGTAGTGTGGGCTCAAGATCATTCGATAATAAATGGACTAAGGATTCTGGTTAATTTTAACAACAGAGTAAAGAACTCGTGGTGACAAACAAAACAATTCCGAGAAACTGTGAGAAAACTCGAGAACGAGGTACCTAATTGTCTTCATAAATCCTAATATTCAGTAGAAGTGATTTGAGGGCGCCAATTTAAATGCTTTGAAGATTGTGTTTTTTCTTCAATAAGTACGAATTCCCTGATTCACGTTTCCCTGATGTGTAAATATACTAAAAGTGAGTCATTGTTTTGGTGTTTGGAGATATTATTTTCGCTGGTTTCACAATCTATGTCATCGACATCGTTAAAATACTTTCGATGTTTGTTATAACTGATATAATAAAATAATATTTACTGTTGGATTGGTGCATAGTTATTTTTTTTTATCCACAACGAGGAAGCTCTTCGCTTGTATCTCACCTGATGTTAAGTGATGATCAGGCCGGAAAGTGGAAGCGAGCTTCACCCGGAATCCTCAACTGAGGAACTGGCTATCTTACCTCTAACTGCCGGAACACAACAATACTGTTAACATTGTTGTTATGGCGACAGACTTAGGTAAGGTGGTGGTAGCTAGCCAGGCGGACTTTTACAGCTATCCATTTGTAATTCAACTGAGGTACCTACTTGGGTTGGTCAAATTTGTGGTCAAGTTTAAGCAGGTGTCCAAACTGTAAAATAATTTTGTGTGCGTTTAAAGCGCTCGTAGATTTAGGCTTTTGATGGCTTAGTTTCAATATTTGGACTAATCACTGGACAGAATTTGTCACCAAACAAAACTCATCACTCAATAAATTATCCTATGACGTCACGGGTGATTGCATGAATTCTCTAAGCGTGTTCACCCAGTGACAAGTCTCATACCATTTAATTTTAGCCTTCAGGGAATACAAAACCTTATGTCAAAGTCTTTTGATCGAGAATTCAGTACTCACTGAAATATCATTTTTGATAAATGCCCATCGGATATAGTTTCAGTTAATCACTTAGATAAATCACCAGTTTGACATCAAATATGCGGCTGAGTACTGGACTTAATAGTTCTGCCTGGGACGATGCCAGTGGTTTTGATTTAGCTGAATGAAACTCATTCAGTGATTCAATTTACAGATAATGTAAGTCGTCGAATGTCATTATTACCTACCTATTTGAATTAGACGTAATGAAGGCTCGCACTTAAATAAATTAAAAGGATTTTTTTTAAAGTATGGAGAGTCCCTAGTCAATTCCCTGGAAATTACCTTTTGTCTTCATATTGACTTGAATCAACTCACAATACCTAATAAGTAATAACTCATTTTTGTGCGGTAAATTAAATATATTACATGTTTCACTATGAAATCTGTTAACCCATCTATATTTGTTATGAGTGGTTCCCCATAATAGTCTAGTGGTCGACGGCGATCGACGAGCTATCAAACCAACAATCCAAATCCTTTACCGTTGTGCTATTGTCGCCTCTATTCTCATATCAATAAGTCCTAAGCGACAAATTACATTATATTTTCCGTGACTTGCACAGACAGAGCGCCATTTCATGTACCCCATTCCATGTACCAATTCCATAAGAAAATTGGTCCCAGCTTTTCATCTGAAGATGCGTGCACTCAACATTATCAAGTTCGTTCATTATTTCAGCTGTACGTGAGGCAAGTGGGAATTCCCTAGATCATCGCGAGTGTTGCTGGATTTTTGGGGAAATATTACGTAGACGTGCGCGGGATTAGAGTAGTGGGCTGTATAAACAGTGGTGGATAATACGGGTAGTTTTCCCGTGCGAAAACGTTTCGACGTTTTTCTTGGGTCATTCAGTTCTAATGCCCGTATTCACAAACAAAGTTTGCTTAAGTGAAGCAGGAAATCGAACGCACAGCGTTGAATAGAGCTCTATGATTAGTTCATGTGTCACCCTGTGCGTCCACGCGCACTGTGAGACCTCATAGTAATGTTTGTGAATACGGGCGTTAAACCATTTTATTGTGCGTAAGCGAGGCACTGCCAATGTAAAAGAATTGAGAATTTTATAAATTATATCTAAAAGGATTAGCTCCTTTAGGCGTCCAGAAACGGTCCATCTCTGCAAAAAATATTATTGCGATTCATTAACAACCCGTTACACACAGGCCATGGTCCACAGCCTGGACCATGGCCTCGTCCTTTTAATGGAAGGTTTTGCCATAATCTCCAACCTTGGTAAGCGACAATCATAATAATCATGATCTCCAAGTCTAACACTTAAAACGGTCTATCTTTGCAAAAAATATTATTGTGATTCATCAACAGCCCGTTACAGCCCACAGCCTGGAGGACTATGACCTCGTCCTCTTAGTGGAAGGTTTTGCCATAATCTCCACCCTTGGTAGGCGACAATCATAATAATCATGATGTCCAAGTCTAACACTTGGAAATCATGATTATTATGATTCCTCTCTTTAAAAATGCCACGAATATGAAGACAATTACAAAGTGCTTAGTTGTACTGATTTATTGCGGAATTTAGATTACAATGCTGATGAGGCCTACCGATCTCCAAATTATTTATTCACTGGTTAACGCCGAAACACATAAAAACACATTAAACGCGCCGTAAACTTTTAAAAAGACCTCATCGACCACTGACAGACTATTTTTACGTTAACAAAAATAAACGTCGCGGTCGCGCGCGTATTTCAGTCCCGTGTGTACCCGTGTTGTGGCGTTGAAATGTTACTTTAAGGTTGCAATAACACCTGTGAAATGGCTGGTCTTTTGTGCTGGAAACTTCGTCGAAGAGCATGAGCGGTGCACGAGTGTATTGTCTAGAATAATACATTCTTGCCGGTTTCGTGTCTTTTGACTGCGATGTAAATGTCCAGAGTTTAAGCCGGGTTTGGTCGTGTGTTTTTATATTTCGGTCGTTTCTAGCTTTTAGCTTTGGCTTTTGTGAGAGTAAAATGTAGGGAACTGACTGAAACGTATGTTTGCAAGTTACATTTTCGTGCCCAATCCAATGTTTACGAATTTTCTTAGAGATTTACGAGTAATAGAAGAAGGACGATTGGAGGGGTTGAAAAAGATTAGTTATGAACGTTTGATGCTGAGCATATCATAGTTACCTTTATTTCTCAAGTCAGAGATGAAAAACTGATGATGTTGATAATAGAGTGTTTCAGAATACTTGACTACTAAATAATCATAAACTACTCTGAAACCTAACAATTTATTACGATCATACTTTCGATCCCGCGACGAGACAAAGACCTTCCTGAACATCCAACTGTACAGACGACTGCATATCAAGTTAAACACAGTAGAGTCTTATCTGGTCGTAATACAGGGTATTTTGCAACAAAATTGAATAGTCTGAGTACTGTCGACTGTATAAACCCGCAGACTACGGATCTATTCCAACCTCTCTCTCCCACCGCTGCAACTCCTGTGTAGCCAGGATCTACACCTTGACCACCAATAAAAACCCAAACAGTGAAGGTCAAGTTTGTCTCGGGGGAAAGTTAAACTGTCATTGGACCCGCAACGAAATTAATCAGAAGAACATGGGAGGAGTTCGAAGTTAAGGTTCGACTTAACCCACGGGCTTGTAAAACTTACTTAACTCAAGGGAAGCCCATCACAAGTGATTCGCAAACAATTAACAACGTGTATCGGAAGTGGGTCAGTGGGCCACACCTCGAGATGCATTCCGCGGCACATATCAACGGTTTGGACGAAAAATAACTTTCTGTTGACCAATTGTTTAGTCGAGCAGTAATTACGGGACTATTCCAACCTCTCGTTCCCACCGCTGTAACTCGTGTGTAGCCAGGAACTACAGCTTGACCGCCAATAAAAACCCAACCAGTGAAGGTGAAAGTGTGGTCAAAGTAAGAAAGCACACTGTACCGATTTGGTATCCGCCGATTCTTGATACAAATTGATTTATTATGCCCGTTTTCACCATCAATCTCTAATTTTTAAGTGACCAGTATGAAAAAAAATACCTGTTATGTGTTACCATAGGCGTCACTTAAAAATGAGGGATTGATGGTGAACACGGGCATTAATGTCATATATATGCCCCCTAGATGGGGATTTCAATCTAGAGCCTGCTTGGGGAAATGGAGATGTGTCCCTTCGGAAAGTGTGGCCGATCCAGTTACACTTGCGGCGCTTGATCTGCTGGTCGATACAAATTGAAGTCGACCAAACTATCGGCCAATAAAAAGTATGTAGTCCGCGGCAACTCGAATAAAACTGGAACCATTTCTATAGTGACTTTTCTCTTACAAAAATTAGTGCCTCAGATGGGACAGAACCCATTACAAGTGATTCGCAAACAATTAACAACGTGTATCGGAAGTGGGTCAGTGGGCCGCACCCCAAGATGCATTCCGCGGCACATATCAACGGTTTGGACGAAAAATAACTTGCGACGGGAATAACTCGGTGTTAGACTGAGAGTTACTCGTATTTAATGGAGATTTTTTTAACTGAAAGTGATAAATAATCACCAATACCAAAAATCCGAGGGATTTTTGCATTTATTTCTCTACGTACTAATTAAGTAAATGCTGAATGTTCAATTTAGCTCTCTAAACTACCCACACTAAACTAAAAGAATTACCTATTAAATGTCTCTACATCAGTCTTATAATAGACCATTCTTTTCCTAAGGCAGTTGGTTCGGGTCCTAATTCTCCTAAGGTAGGTTTTTTCAGGGTTACAATATACCAAGATGTGATGTCATTCTTATTTAGAACCTGTTCGACATAAATCCCACCCACAAAGTGAATACGATAAAAAAAGAATAAAATAATCGCAGAAGGGGCACTCGACGTTAAATCATGCGTAACACCTGCTCTGAAAAAATAGCTCTTATATCTTATGTATTGTTTTTCTTTTGTTTCAGGTCCGAATGAGAAACAAGAACAAACAAAGGTGGTCAACATAACTATTGGCGACGTGAGAAGAGATGCTTCGGAGAGGATACACGGGTTGCTTCAAGAAAATCAAGACTACTCACAAACAGTACGTTTTATTAAAAGTTAAATAATAATATTAGTACTAATAGTAAATTACTAATAGTCTCGTTAACCCCGCCTCGTGGCAAGCTTGCTTGTTACGAGTATTCACCACAATAGTCGAGAGGCGGCGGCGATTGAACCCGCGTTCCTCGGATCACGAGTCGACCAGTCCGACACCTTCACCGTTCGGCTATCGTTGCTAAAATTAGGTTCATACATTGAGTTTTTAGATTATTCGATAGATAGTACTTCGTTCGCTCGTTCGTTTCAGCTAAATAACGTCCACTGCTGGACAAAGGCCTCCCCCCAGGTTCTTCTAGCGACCTTTACCACATCGTCGGTCTGTGGCGACGCCACTACAAACTAGTGACCAACAGATGGCGCTGTCACTACTTCACTATGGCACACTCCGCCGCTCATACAAACCTGCATCGCGGTGACGGAGTTTTAGATCCTGCCAAAGTATATATAGACAAACCAAGATGGTGTAAATTGGACCTTGGTACCCGAGCATAACACCCGCTCGGAAGGAAGCACTAACATCTAGCTTCCTTATTGTGGACGAACATCGTATCCCACATTGGTGACCCCGACGAAGAAGAAGAAGAATATTTCATCAAGAATTCTACAATCGGATTGGTGTGTGGTTTGGACACAAGCGGTGAGCGATTTTTTCACATACTNTCTGGTGACCCCGACGAAGAAGAAGAAGAATATTACATCAAGAATTCTACAATCAGATTGGTGTGTGGTTTGGACACAAGCGGTGAGCGATTTTTTCACATTGTAAAAATGGGCAACGACGAAATTTTAAAAGTGAGCGTACGAGTTCCGCTCTTCTGGCCTGAGGAGCCTGCTTTGTGGTTCGCGCAGGTTGAATCACAGTTTGTCCTGTCGGGAATAACTAAGGACGAGACCAAGTTTTACTACTTGGTTGCGCAGTTAGACCACCAATATGCCATCGAGGTGAAGGACATCATCACCAACCCGCCTCCTACGGAAAAATACGAAAAGCTGAAGTCTGAACTAATTAAACGACTTTCAGCTTCTCAGGAAAAGCGGATTAAGCAGCTGCTGATTCACGAAGAGCTAGGCGATAGGAAGCCGTCTCAGTTCCTACGTCACCTGTCGGGTTTGGCTGGTCCTTCGGTGTCTTCTGATTTCCTGCTTACTCTGTGGTCCAGCAGGCTGCCACAGAATATCCAGACGGTCATCNGGGTGAGTTGGCTGACAAAGTATACGAGATCGCACCGTCAACTCCGCAAGTCGCCAGTACTTCCTCTGCTGCAGTACCCTACGGAGACATGGCACACCAGATCGCAGAGTTGACCAGGCAAGTGGCTATACTGACCAGCAGACTTGAAGATTCCGACAATAGATCACGTTCGAGATATCAGAACAATCGTTACAATCGCTCACGCAGCCGCTCCAGATCAAAGCAACCACCACCTGACCATCCACACTGCTTCTACCACTTCACATACGGCACTAAGGCGAAGAAATGTAAGCAGCCTTGCAGCTTCCCCTCGGAAAACTCCAAGGGCGGTCGGAAGTAGCGGCCCACGACTGCCCCTCTGCAACAGGCCGTCTTTTCGTTACGGATCGCACATCAAAAATGCAGTTCCTTGTGGACACTGGCTCAGACCTGTGTGTTTTTCCGCGATCCGCTATCAAGACGCCCTGTACTAAGACCAAGTATGATCTCGTCGCAGCGAACAACTCCATCATCCACACTTATGGACCTGCACTACTACACCTGAACTTGGGACTCAGGCGAGATTTTACTTGGAACTTCATCATAGCAGACGTTTCGAAGCCTATCATCGGTGTAGACTTCCTGAGCCATTACAATTTGCTTGTAGATTGCAGAAACCAACGTTTGGTCGATGGAATCACAACCCTGTCCGTAGCAGCTGTTACTTCTGGAAATTCAGACGATATCGCTTCTGTCAAAGCCGTCACTGGTGAAACCGAGTTTCACACACTTCTGCGCGAGTTTCCAGAGATTACCAGACCGGCAGGCGTTCGTTCTCCACCCAAGCATAACACACTGCACCACATCAGAACCAGCCCTGGTCCACCGGTATCTTGCAAGCCTCGACGTCTTGATCCAGTTCGCTCCCAAGCAGCGAAGAAGGAGTTCGAGGACATGCTTGCGTGTGGTACGGCTCAGCGTTCGGAGAGTCCCTGGTCTTCTGCTCTACACATGGTGAGGAAGAAGGACGACGGATGGAGACCATGCGGCGACTATCGTGCACTTAATGCCAGGACTATTCCAGACCGGTATCCCATTCGTCACATACATGACTTCTCCTACCAGCTCTCAGGATGCACTATCTTCTCCACCATCGACCTTGTGAAGGCATACAACCAGATTCCGGTAAATCCAGCGGATATTCCCAAGACTGCCATCACCACGCCGTTCGGTCTGTATGAATTCCCATACATGACGTTTGGGTTAAGGAACGCTGCGCAGACCTTTCAGCGATTCGTCGATGAAGTTCTTCTGGGTCTTGACTTCTGTTTTGGGTATCTCGACGATATCCTGGTGTTTTCCAGCAGTCCAGAAATCCACCTGGTCCACCTGCGCCAGCTATTTGAACGCCTGAGAGAATACGGGATACTGGTTAACACTTCAAAGTGCAATCTAGGCCAGTCTGAAATAACGTTCCTCGGCTATCAAGTCTCTGCAGCAGGAACTAAGCCCCTGGAGACTAAAGTAGAAGCTATACAAAACTTCACAGCACCGAAGACCGTCAAGGAGCTTCAGCGTTTTCTCGGTATGCTAAACTTCTATCGACGCTTCATACCGAACGCCGCCAAGATCCAAGCACCTCTCACCAGTATTCTTACTGGACCTCGGATCAAAGGTTCACAGCCCATCACTCTGACACCAGAAATGCTGAAGTCGTTTGAGGACTGTAAGACTTCCTTATCGCAAGCCACACAGCTTATTCACCCAGACCCTTCTGCCGATCTTGCTATAGTCACGGACGCTTCTGACGTAGCTATTGGAGCCGTGCTACAGCAACTCAAGGATCAAGTCTGGCAACCCTTGGCTTTCTTCTCTCACAAACTGAGCGCTTCCCAGAAGAAATACAGCCCGTACGATCGAGAGTTACTTGCAGTATATGAAGCCATCAAGTACTTTCGACATATGGTTGAAGCCAGAACATTCACTGTGTTTACGGACCACAAGCCACTCACATTCGCATTCTCGCTTAACAGAGACAAGTGTTCGCCTAGACAATTCAGGTACCTCGACTTCATCGCGCAATTTACCACGGACATAAGGTTCATCCCTGGACGCGACAACATCGTCGCCGATGCCTTATCACGAATCGAAGAGGTAACTTGCGCCGTAGACTACGAGTGCCTTGCACGTTCTCAGGAGAGTGATCCAGAGCTACAAGAGCTCCTCAAGCACGGAACAGCCTTGAGACTGCAAAAAGTTGCCACTGAGGCGAGCAGCACGCCTGTCTATTGCGACACGTCTCTGCCTTCTCTTCGTCCGTACATCACACCCGAGTTCCGCAAGCAAGTTTTTGATGTGCTACACAACTTACATCACCCAGGAAGTTCAGCTACTGTGCGACTGGTGACACAAAGATTTGTTTGGCCAGGGATTCGCAAGGATTGTAGAGAGTGGTCTAGGCAATGCATAAAATGCCAGAAAAGTAAAGTTTCCCGTCACACTACCTCTCCTCTATCCTCTTTCCTTCCACCTTCCTCGAGGTTCTCTCACATACACCTCGACATCGTAGGGCCATTACCTTTGTCCTGTGATTACAGGTACTGCCTCACTGTCATAGACAGGTTTACTCGGTGGCCTGAAGCGTATCCGCTGAAGGACATCACCGCAGAGACCTGTGCTGCTGCCCTCGTGTCTGGCTGGATTGCCAGATTTGGTTGTCCTGAGCGGGTAACCACAGACCGTGGTCGCCAGTTCGAGAGCCACCTGTTCCAGGCTCTCACTTCTCTGGTCGGTGCGCGCCATCTCCACACCACAGCCTACCATCCAGCGGCCAACGGCATCGTTGAGCGCCTCCACCGCCAGCTCAAGGCGGCAATCATGTGCCACGCTCCAGCTTCACAGTGGACTGAAGCACTACCACTGGTTCTTCTAGGCATGCGTAGTGCCTGGAAGGAAGACCTCCAGTCGTCCCCTGCCGAACTGGTGTACGGCGAACCACTTCGCCTGCCCGGTCAGTTCCTGAGCCCCAGATACGACTACCAGACAGCTGACGTCACCCAGTACGCGACTCGACTTCGCGCGTGCATGGCGAAGCTTGCTCCTCGTCCTACCACCTGGCACTCCACTTCGGCCTTCTACATTCCACGCGATCTTCACACCTCTTCGCACGTCTTCGTTCGCCAAGATCGCATGAGAGGCGCCTTGGAGCCACCATACGCTGGCCCCTACAAGGTTGTCAACCGACAACCTAAATACTATACCTTGGAAGTCAACGCCAAGAATGTCAATGTCTCCATTGACAGGCTCAAGCCAGCGTATGAGTCGAAGGAAGTACAGAAGACAGCTCAACCAGCCGAAGAAAACGTTAAGCGGACTTCCAGCGGTCGAAGAGTCCGGCTGCCCGATTTTTATCGACCGTAGTCACGGTCTGCGGAGGGGAGTACTGTGGCGACTATCCGCCACAATCTTAACTTGGACCCCCGCCTTAGATTTCTGAGCAATCCGCTTCCGCTCATGAAATTGGGCCAGCTCCGATTGACCGAACAAACGTTCGGCGCATGCGCGCTGCCGCCGCGGTACGCCTGCGTCGCTCGCGCACCCGTGGAGACGTATGCTGCCGTCTCGCTTCAACGCCGCTCATCGTTCCCCGCTCACTCATAGCCGTTGAAGAGAATTGGAAAATCGATGACACACTCTGTCTTCCGCGATCGTTGTGCTAACATCATTTGAATAATTCTCTCGATATAATTGTATTTTAATTAATTATTTGTTACTTGTGCCGTTAAATACAATTCTTAATTCGTTAATAATATTCTTCATTCTACCGTGTTCGTTCTACTATCATTTTCTCGTCTGTACTACCTAAAAATAATCTTAGTGATTATTATAATCGGAATATAATTCCGAGGACAATATATGGTCGGTTATTGGCAAATAACCCCCCATAGGTTATAGCGGTAGATAATGGTAATATCTTTTCATTTCATTCATAAATTCAATCAATTCAACATTCTGACATTAATGATTTTTTAATGAATCATGGGCCAAATACAGTAATGATAACTCTACACAGTGTACCTACCTACTCAATCAAAATTGTTACCTATGTTTTACAAATAAGCCCGAGTTGCACTATCTCACTTTAACCGTAACTATAACCATAAATTTTTGTATGAAGTTTGACAGACTTGACGTTTGTCATAATTAAAGTAATATACTGCAACCCAGCCTAAATAGGTATTTCTTATTTTGCAAAATTGTGGATATAGCCAGCAGTTAGCGTCTATTCTTTGAAAAGGAAGTTAACGCAAGGCAGGAAGACCTCTCTCTCTCTTATCAAAGTTTCTCACTGAAAACAAGGGTGTTTACATAACAACTTGGTTGCTAAAACCGCTGGTTCTTAGCAATAATATTAAACAACACTCGAAAATGAACGAGCACCCCCCATCGCCTTAATTAATGTCTTACAACAGCCACAGCACAAATTATTCACTTATAAGTTTTCTCTTTTATCGTGTGGATTGTAAAAAAAATATGAACAAATCCTGGCATCTTAAAAAATTGAGCTCTTAGACATTACGAAGGCAAAACTGGAATTCATACAGAAACCGTAATTTTTATCGGATGTAGTAACTTAAAACCATATTTAAGGGTGATTGTAAATATATTTTTAATAAATTAACACGTTGAGTGCGAAACCAGGTCTATAGACCTTGTGTACGTCTCGCTTACCGTGCGGCTAAGAAAATTATAGTCTTCCTTGTCGTGCGAAAGGCATAACTTCAATTGGGTCCGGTGTAGGAAAGTGATGAAATCTATAATGTATTCTTAAAATAGAATCCAATGATGTACCTACCTTAATACCAGGTTTTTAGACCTGGTACCGCACGGAAGTAATAAAATGTCTTCACAATGCGAAACCAGGTCGAAGAACCTTGTACCCTGCGCACCTGGTACCGCACCCCACGCTAGCTTCGTGCAGCCAGTGTTGCCTCGCATTCGTAAGAAACGCACATGTCGACATGGCGTTAAGAGAAACAAACAAAATCAAAACTGCAAATTGATTATAATTTAATTTGCTACACGATTTATTGCTAATTTAAATATTTTTTCGTGACAAACATTTGAAATTGTAACTAAATGTTATTAAATAATATGTTTTCTTTAAATATAGCTTATTTAAGTATTTATGCACGTTTGTCTTATTTGTAAAATATTTAGACTAAATTATTAAAACATCTTTGTTTGTTACTTTTTTAAATTTTTATTAAAACTTAATTAAAACTATCGATATTTGTATTTCACATCCCTAGAATACCCACCAGACTTCCCTACTTCAGTGCGGCACAGGGTGCATAAGCCTTGTATTTTGAATATAGCTATAATTTTTATACTAAACAAGTTATTCACGAACGCCTTCAGGTGTATGTCAATAAATGCATTATTATTAATATTCAAAGAAAAAAAACACAATATCTATTAACATGAAGCCAAAAATAAAATTAATATATCTTAAATATTACAAGGTCTTTAAGNAATATATCTTAAATGTTACAAGCCTTGTGCCGCCACAATGTAAGTTTTAATACCAGGTTTACTGACCTTGTACCGAAGGAATGGAAAGTATTAGAAAGTTACTGCCGCAGCAAAGGTGTTAACATTGTACCTAGTAATTAATTGTGTGGAAATCTACTTTTATAATGAGATAAAAACTCATTCAAATTAATGACTTGGAAATGATTGCTTGCCTTTAGAGTCTAGAAGGACACTCCCCACTTTTTCTTAGTAATGTGAAAATTCTGATTTATCACTTAATGGATGTGATAGATACAGATACACAATTCCGTGGACAAAATGCATTTATATGGCTGTTCTCTTTATACTATATCTTGTCTTGTCTCAAAAAATCTACATCTCTATTTAGGTAAGACAAATGGTTGCACATACACAAGCTCTAAAATACACTTTATTACCGACACAAAAGCTTGAAATTCCTTTGTGCATATTGCGAGTTATAACACCTGAGCTTTCATTCAAAGTGCAAGAGAAAACGGACTTTAAGCTGTCGAGATAAGGAATACAATGGCGTGCAAATTATGGGGACCACAATAAGATAACATGCAGATGAAAGCAATGATACATTGCTGATAATGCAGGTTGAATTCGGGACCAAAATTATACTAACTCATTACTAGCGGCTGCCCGCGAGTTCGTACGCGTGGATCCCGTTTTACCCCCTTAGGGGTGGAGTTTCGTAAAATCCTTTCTTAACGGATGCCTACGTCATAACATCTACCTGCATGCCAAATTTCAGCCCGATCCGTCCAGTGGTTTGGGCTGTGCGTTGATGGATCACTATGTCAGTCAGTCAGTCAGTCACCTTTGAGTTATACATAATTATATATTTAGATAATAACTTAAACTATGTGCTAATATCACGCGGTCGCGGGAAGTACCTATATGAAAATCCTTGGGGGAGGCTTTTATTCAGTATTGGACGTCATTTGGCTGAAAAAAACATTACTGAACATAATATTACTAAATAAATTAATAGTTTGAAAACTAAAAACTTTTATCATAATATCTAAGATTAAACAGTTTTATAGCTAGGTAAAGTATACTGTCTAAAACATACACTTTTTATTGTAATCCTACTTAGACATGTCAAAATCTACGCAGACAAAGTTGCGGTCAGAAACTAGTCAGCAACAACCATTTAGCTGATTCGCGAAAAAGTAAACAAAAGAGACTCACCAGATTACTTTCCAAGTCGTCCTTCTTAAAGGAACTTTATTTTGTGAAAACTTTCGCGAACAAAAAGCCTATATCTCATCCGCAAGATAAACAGAAACAAGGTGTAACAAGGAAATATATGAAAAAACTTAGAGACACATAAACCTGTGTTTTGTTCACAACTTTGCGGGTGGATAGAGATTTTTCTTTCTATTACTTACTGTTATTGCAATCGAGACTTGGATTTGTTGCCTCAGCTGAGTTCAAGAGAGAACTGCTCCTGAATCATGTACCTACTAGGTACTGCTATATTTATATCAACAGGCAGACAGTGGTGACTGAGTTTGTTGCGGCGCTTCTTTTCATCACATGCCAAATGTTGGTCTAGAAGCACTGGTAGAGTAAAAAGATTATGAGACATGTAGTGTAGAGGCTCCTTAAAAGCAAAATATTTGACGATTTGTAAGTACTATTTAATAGTCTATACAAATAAAGAAATTTTGATTTTTACTTTAACTTCAAGATCTATTGCTTAAGGCAAGCGGACAGGGGGCATGGAGGCGCCCCTACCTTTATTGCACAGACCACCACCACCGTCGGACCTCCCGTCCTGGGGCCTTAGGGCAATCGCTGGGAGGGACTATGGTAGAAGGTTTTGGCCGGAATCCCACAGTTTCTTCCTACTTATGGAGAATGATGGAGTAGGTACCTGGGTCGTTTTAGTGAGTAATTGGGTATGCCTTGTCCTTCTGACTTGGTGAGCCCCACATAACCCATCCTGTCCCCGCAGGTTAGGTATGATAATATGCATTTTTTCCCCGACAAAAAAGAGATCTATTGCTTATTTGTCTGTTTGAATAAAACTGTGTTTTGTTACAGATTTTCATCACAAAAGACATAGAAGAAGCTTATCAGAAAACAGGGTCATCATCACACAGCATTTCACAGAGCGAACTGTTACGCCAGGGGGCGATGTAAGTTAAAAATAACTAATAATATGTTGTACGATTTAACCGTCACAAAATTCAGAGTTGAAAAAATCGACCTGTCTTGAACCCATGACTTTTCGGTTGCATGATGACTTGTTAAACCACTGTGCTATGGAGACATTTGTTAACCTTTTAAATTCTAAGGCTGAGTTGCACCACTTTACTTTAACGGTAACTATAGCCATAACCGGTGCTTTTTGTATGGAGTTTGACAGATTTTTGACGTTTGTTAAAGTCAAAAACCCAGCCTAAGGCTGGGTTACACCATCTTACTTTAACTTTAACAAACGTCAGCCTAAGTAATTTTTAAACTGTGAGCTAGCTTCATGCACGTAGCACACTTATCAACCCGGAAAGGGATCGTAACCGTATCAACTCGAGGCGGTCAATATTCTTTGTATGAAACTCCATACAGCAACGCACACGTATAACGTAAACGCGTCGCCTCGCGGTTGACAGCGCGCGAAAGGCGATGACAGTTCGCTAAAGGCGATACGGTGTTGATCCCTTTCCGAGTTGATAAGTCTGTCTTCACAAAACTAAACTTTAATTACATATTATTATGTTCCAGATCAGCATGCAGTGCGCAGCCACTGGTGACAGGCCACCGCAGTTTGTGTGGGAACGGGACGGCATCGTCATATCCAGCAATACTGAGCATAGGTTTTTATCTCCATTTTTAAAGGTCCTACATATTCTTTAAACAGTGATTAGTTAGTGCTTAAATGTTTCATATTCAAAAGATTGTTTGTTTTCTATTACATTGTACGATAAAAAATAACCCTCCTTCTGGCGCAGTCGGGCCTCCAAAAAGGTCTATGCTTTTCAAAAATGACCGAAAATAGAACCAAATAACTTTTAAGAGGAATCACTAATCATTATTTTCTGTTATTCATTAACGAAATAGATTTAGGGGACTCTACTATTCATTAAATACTTATCGATTTAAAATTACAAGAAAATTAATATTTAAGAGTTAAATCACAGACTTCCTACATTTCCAATTACAATGTCCTGGAGCTTTAATATTTAAAGGATACTTCAGAGATGATAGCTCCCACTTCCAAGAAATCTAGAAATTCGTTTTGAAGTATTAAACGGATACTTGGAACGGTATTTAATATGCATGCTGTAAGGAAGCCTCACGTAAATAACTGAGAAACTCTATTTAAGGCACCATTGAAAATAAGTACTTTTTTTAGGTTGTACAATCTTATATTAAGATTGTTTCGGCGACAGACTTAGGTAAAATAGTGGTAGCTATCCAGGCGGACTTAGAAAAAGCCCTACAACTAACTTACTAAGCAAGCAACAATTTTTCTTACAATGGGAATCGAATCCAGCTCCAGATCAATAATATGTTATAGTCAATTAAATCTTTTTACTGTAAATTGAGATGAGGTACGTTTGCCTCATAAAGGTAGCGGGATAGCACTGGATGCAGACCGCTACTAACCGGGCAATATACAATTCATTGGGGGAGGCCTATGTTCAACAGTAGACGTCCTGTGGCTGAAATGATGATGATAAACGTTTACCTTGGATTTTAAATGGTGTCAACTACTTCCAGATATGCCTTAGGCCAAGTGATGACGTCAGACAACGCGGTGGTCTCCCAACTGAACATCACGAGGGTGCGGGTGGAAGATGGGGGGTTGTACAGTTGCACAGCGAGGGAGGGGGAGCATGCTGCTGTACATGAGAACCGGCTGGATGTTTATGGTAAGATTAATTTATTAACCGACTTCGAAAAAAGAGGAGGTTCTATTTTCTATAAAGTTTTTTTAGAAAACAGGAGTACTTTTATCGTATTAGATTCAGGGGTGTCCAATAGTCCAATAGTAATGGTTTCGGTGTCAGACTGCTACGAATCCCTAGAATGCCCGTTTCATGGGAGTCTCCCAAGAATCGGTTGACCGCTGAACTATTATATTTGTGAACTCCTACTCCTTACACAAACATTAAATAAGTAACCTAATTTGGTCTTAACAGGAGAAGTTATCGTCTTAGAAGTGTTTAAGTCTTCTACTTATTAGGTTTTTCCTGTATAACGTGAAATCTAGGTATTTAAGGTGAAAATAAATATAAAGATGTTTGTTTCAGGTCCACCCTACATCAGATCTCTTCCCCCAATCAAAATACAAAGCGGAGAATCTGTTAACTTGAGATGCCCTTTTTATGGCTATCCCATCAGGTTAGTATCAACAAATTCAATTAAACTACTTATCCAACGAAATGACTGGCAATTCTCAACATATAGATTTACCGCGCAGTCGAAAAATTCTATTTTCAGTACCTCAATTTGCTAGATAACTTATAGTTAATAAATCCAAAAGTTATCTTTTTAATGACTGAAGTAATACTAACAAGAATTTTTCAGCAAATATCTTATCTTTTGACAACAGTAACTTACTTCTCTAACCAAGTCTTACGTTACTTTGCAAACATAAATCATAGTAAACTTCGTATGATGAAAAATAAGCTAACGTTACACTCTCCCATACAAAAGCTTAATAAAAACGTCGCTAAAAGCGTCTGTGGACCAAACTATGATGGATGTGGTGTCAGATTTGCAGTAAATAATCTCGCTATTAATCTTCACATCATGCTAGCTCACACCACAACATAGTTGATAACAGTAGCTTTATTATAAGAAACATAATATTCAGTCTGACAAAAAAAAGTTAACACAGTTTTACATACTTTCAACTACGGTTCAACAGGCGTGTAATTTTTTGCAGTAAGGGGGCTAATTTTTCACTAAAGTTCAGACACTTATACGTTGATAGCAAGCGAGCGAGTGAATCTCAAAAATCTCAGTGATGACACGGTTAATCCAAGGGCAAGCCTAAGCTGCAAACGTGCAGGCCGATAACATGTATTTACTATGTCACTGCGCTAGAATTGAATTTTATCATGCACATTATTTTAAAGTTCTTGATTATTTAAATTAACAAAGCGCAAAATTAAGTCTTGGATTAAATGTCCTCCAACACCCCGGATACTAAAAAGTTTCGCTTTACAAAAAGTACTAAAAATAGACTTTGTCGGCTTTCACGAACCAATCTACTCCCCAAGTCAATAATCTTGAAACAGGGAAACAAATAACAATTTACTTTCCAAGTGTCACACCGTATTCAAAATTACCGCACCATTCAAAACGCAGAACCTTGGAAATGTTTCAGTAAAATCGACTGGGAATACCAAGGCAAAACTTTGTCTACAAACACACTATTTCAACGTTACCGGCGATCTTTCAAATATAAAATCCGAAGAGACGCCCCCTTGGTGAACTTAAATGGAATTTTGACAATACCAGAGGTCAGTAAGGAGCAGAATGGGGCAATTTACACGTGTATAGTCACAAGCCCAAGTGGAGAAATGGCGAGGAGAGCATTCGAGGTGCAGGTGATAGAAGCGCCGGTGCTAGAAGATTTGCTGTTAGGAAACAATCTGCAGGAAGGACAGATTGTCAATATTTACTGTAATGTGCGCAGCGGTGATCTGCCGATACATTTTGAATGGCTGAAAGATGGGAAAAGGATACCGGGCAATTTGAAGGTAAGATATATCGTAATAATAATTTAATGCCAGAAAAAATTGAATAATTGTTGTGTTAAAGCTAGCAGATATTACCTAAAGACTTTAGCGAATGCCTTTCATACAATTTGACAATAATTCTCGTAGAAATATTGAAATTTTAATACTTTTCAGGTTGTAGAAAGAAGTTCAGAGTTATTCAGTGCCTTGGTCATCAAGAAAGTGTCTCTCGAACACTGCGGGACATACACCTGCGTTGCCTCCAACCACGTCGCTAAGGTCAACCGGTCTACTGAGCTTTACATCAAAGGTAAGTTCATTATAGCACTGAAATAGTAATACGATTTCCAGCCGTATTACAAAACAGTAAGATTTGGCTTCTTTCATTTATTGCACTTATTATTAACCTCCTCAACCTTTTCTACGTTCTAACTGTAATCTGTTTTAGTTGCACCAAAATGGCTGGAGGAACCAACGAACTCCTCTCTTCTTCTGGGCAGGAGAGGCGCTGTATCCTGCAGCGCCAGCGGCTACCCTCAACCACAAGTGCACTGGATGAAGAAGGATGGTATGAAAACTAAAGAGTCCCTTTGCAATTAAAGTGACTTACTTTTAATGACAATACTTTTACTTATCAAAGTTATGAAAGCTCAATGAACACAATCTGAAATAGGTAATATGGCAATACACTGCTTAAGTAATTTTTGAGAGCTCAAAGACACACCAATGTTGCTGCCAATAGTATTTACGCTTGAACTTTGAGATTTACTGATGTCTTGCTAAAAAAAATACAACAGAGAAACATTCAATCTAATCCTTGGTCTACTAACCCTATTGATGTTACAATAGAACGTACCATCTCTACAACTTTTCCCATATCCTCAGCGATCCTCGGAACCTGGCAACCAGTTCTGGAACTAGCTGGCGGAGGGATCCTCAGTCTCCCCAACGGGACCCTGGTCATAGAAGAAGTATCGCTCACAGACGAAGGCTTATACTCGTGCAATGTGGAGAATGGAGTCGGCCAACCGCTCAGCAAGACTGTATGGATGAGTGTGAATAGTAAGTCTGTAATTTTTACTTTTTCCTCACGGATTCCTCAGGTGCTGTTCGCGACCTTCCCTATATCGTCAATCTACCGACCGAGTGGTGGAATGTCTGCCTACACTACGGTTTTTCGGTTCGTGCTCACCCCTCGAGAACATTTCTACCTCAAAAACCATGCAGGTCTTTTATTTCTTGACTACTCATATAAAATCGTCCATGATTTTCTCATTTTCTGTCATATTGACCGTAAGAAGCTTTTATTCTAGCGTTTCTTCTTCTCAATCGTTAGACACTTGACCATGATTGTCATGAGTTATGTTTACTTGATTATCTGTTATAGATGCTATCTGTTTGTCGCCTTATGATATCTCCTCATCTTTTTCTGTTGATGGTCAACTCAGTGTACTCATGCAGAGTTAAATGCGTTTGTGTCGCTGTTTTCAGAGCCTGTCCACTTCGAGTCGTCATCGACTAACGTGACCTCACGCCTCGGCCATCCAGTCTCGCTCGAGTGTCGACCATTAGGAGATGACCCCATCAGAGTCACCTGGACTCACGATGGTAACCCTATGGATTATCAGAGTCAAAGGTCAGTGTTGTAAAAGATCTATTTTATTTATCTATCCTCATGAAATTGCTACTGAAATAATGTTATAACAAAATTGGTATTCTTCTTTAAAAGACCCTAGGATTATGATATATCACGGCCTTAGAATTACGGACTCTCATCATCCATATTAAAACACCCTTGGATCTAGAGGAGTAACTTATTACTAATCTGTGTTAAAGCACTTACATTGTCCTTGACGATGTACAGGGAATAAGGAAGAATATCGTTAAAATTCACTCCTCTTAGATGAAAAGTGTTTAAAGAATGACTTCTTTTTCAGAATAAAACTATCAGAATCAAAGACCTCTCTAGGGCTGGCAAGCACAGTCAACTTCCAGTACTCTGAGACAGGAGACGCAGGGTTGTACCAATGCAGAGCGAGCAATCCTTATGGGGCAGCTGTTTTCAATGTTCATCTGACTATATTGGGCACGTATCACCACGTAAAGATAACAATTTCACTATTTATCTACAACTCTAAAGTTGGTCATGATAGCACGCTAAAAGTAGATATTAAACTGCAGACTAACAAGATAAAATTCCGTTCTTTAATATTTAAATTCTTTGCACTTGAAATATTAAACACTTGCCGGTAGCGATAAGATAATTTTCAATCAGTTTTATTGTGAATTTATCTTGTTTTGAATCTCATGTTGAGTTTAGATAACTGCATCCGATTTAAAGTTCTCACGCATTAGTTAGATTTTTGCGAAGACTAAAAAACATGTTTCACGTAAACTAGGTCTAAGATAATGTTTGCTCAGGAAAAGTGAGTTTTAACATCAACCTTTTACAGAACCTCCCACACCTCCATCGGATCTCCGCATCGAGTCGGTCCGCTCCCGCTCCGCTACGGTCTCCTGGCGCGACACGCTCCGTGCGCACGCGCGCCACTACACACTTCAATACATCGTGACCCAGTACACGGATAGCGCCTGGGATCATGCTACCAGCCTTAATATCACCAGGTACTATTCGAAAATCAGTTTGAGGCATAAATAAAGATAGACAATCTACGTCGTGAGTGGATGATTATCATAGTCAAAAATATTTGCATGAATGATGATTTAGGCGAATTGTTAAAATGTATTCGACTCTAATCTATCAGAAGCCTTATAACCTATTATTTTAATAGTTACCATTTGAAAGCTGTATCAAATTATAGCCTGACCAGGAACATAAAAACCCTGGCATAGAGGCGCATCAATTGCATTTGATAGTGCAACACTGAGTACAGTCGTACCTGTGTTAAATTAATAGGCTAACTTTATGTATCAGGATTCAGGATTACGGGCTAATTTAATATTTTCATAAATTAACGAAAACATATTATTATAGGTAACCTGGTTTAAATAAATTAAATGAAACCATCAATCGAGCTAGTAGGATTTATTTTATTATTCATCAATAATCAAATTCAGAACTTGAATATTCAACTGCAATGTCTGCTCATGAACGCTTCAAACTCGGTACTTCTTTCCCAATTCCATAAAATTCAACACTTAGAAAGTGACAAAAAACTTTAAAATAGGTAGTTGAAACAAACCACAGCTAATTTTCATAGTGGACTGTACTATACGATAAACATGTCAGTCAATTTGACAACCTTTGTTGGAAACATTATTCAATGAAAATATTGTCCGAACCCTTGGTATTTCTCTTCGACAAATACTTTAACACATTGTGAACCACTTTTCTTTCACGACTATAAAAAGATTTTAGCAATTTCATTCACAAAATCAATTGCGCACATTTAAAATAAAGTTTGTTTACACTTTGACAGCAATAGACTGACATGCAAGGTGACATGTCAATGAAGTTTTTAGTTATTGTTGCCATTAAAAGAAATTAGTACCATTAGATTTCCGCAACATGGCGAGGGTTTTTATGTTCCTGGTCAGGCTATACTTTAAATCACTCGTCGTATTTAACTAAAGATTCTACTCGTTAATCATCATTATCAACTACAAAACATTGATCGAAACAATAACATCTCCGATTAACAGAGCACTTTTTTCTCAGAAAAGAATCCGACATTCGTCAGTCTCTAGAACTTCAAAATCTCAGACCAGCCACTGCTTACGGAGTCCGAGTGGCTACTGGAAACCAAGTTGGAACCAGCCTCTTTACTGCACCAATACACTTCACTACACACGAAGAAGGTAACTTCCCCTTATCCATAGTCTTTAGCTTGATGAACATACAAGTTTTTATTAACATTTCTTTTACTCTTTCTTTACATTTTTAGCACCATCATCACCGCCAATCAACGTCCAAGTAGAGCAGACAGAGAATCCTGGAGAACTGTACGTCTCATGGCTGCCACCATTGAAAGAGTCACATAATGGCGTGATTTTGGGGTATCATGTCAGAGCCATACCTCAGAATAGTGGGACAGGTCAGTTTCACAAAAAATACCCCTTTTCTTCTAAAGCTTTTGATTCAATAATTATATCATCAAAGTAAATAGACTGAAGAAAACTAAAAAAAAGATTCATTTAATTAATATTACGCTATCTATTTTATTGATAATAAATAATTTAAAACCACAAGATATCATAATTTAATACAACAAACTTAAATGCTTTATTTATTTGAAAAGTTTGTAACTTTTCTCTTGTAAGACATCTGATAGAAACCAGAAACCGTATCGTAATCATAAATTAAGGTGACATTTAGATTTTTTTAGCTATTGTTTTTTCAGATGATGCAGACACAAGAACTATAAAAGTATCGCAACAAGCTGGAAAACAAGAAGCATTATTAAGTGGACTTTACAAGAATACGCGATACGCCGTATCAGTATCAGCATTCACAAATGCTGGATCAGGACCATTTTCGTTGCCAATACCTCAAGATACTAGAGAAGGAGGTAAGATGGAAAAAACTGGCACTGACTATATACCTAGACACATGAATTATACTCACGTGATGAGGGTTCTGGAAATAATTTCTAGATGTAGATATAACATGTTACACTGCCGGAAACGCTCATAGAGCGAAAAAAACAGCTCATGCCGCATTGTATCTAAATGATAAATAAATAAATGATACATACACTTCGCGAACGTCGTCTTTCATCATCTGACTCTAATGTATTTTATGTTAAAGCACCGGAACATGCACCATCATCAGTGGAATGTACAGCGGTGTCATCAACGTCTCTGCGAGTTGGCTGGCAGCCGATCACGCAGTCAGGACAGGGCACCTCGCTTATTGGCTACTCCGTACTATTTGCTACTGAAGGTAATTCTCTAACGCACTAACTTCTGTTTCCTTTACTCTCTGTGTACCTACTTGCTGTAGATATAAGTAACATTTATTACACCCGGAAAACTTCAATGACAGGATGACATGTCAGTATCTGAAACTTTTAAAAATCTTGTGCAACGACCTTCAGTTAACTTTAAAACTGAATTGTTAACGCGCTCTTCTAAAAGGTAATTTAATTTATTACTGCATCTCTCGTCTTGTTCACAGATGGTACCTGGCAAAACCAAACGTCCTTACATACAGAATTCTACCTCCAAAGTCTGATGAAGTTCACCAATTACACTGTGAAGGTGGCTGGCTTCTCCAACTACGGAGCAGGGCCGTACTCCTATCCTATCGTTTGCGCTACGTTACAGGATGGTAAGAATAATAAAGCTACATAACTACGCATCGTGTGACACTTATGAGACCGCCCAAATGACGAATATACGGCAACAATGTGAATTTAACCTTAGTTAGGCCGCTTTTACACTTATAAGTTTTACTCACATAAGTAACTTAGGTACATACGAGTAAATTTAATCACTCTTTGTAAGTCGTTTTACATAATTTCTAACTACATGCGTATACAGCCGTATGATACTCAGTACGTAAAATGAAAGTAACTTAAAAGTGTTAAGGCGGGGTTAGATGATGTCTGATGCATAAATGCTAAAATTTACTACATTAACGCTCATTATTATAGTATTTATCATTTTCCTCAAAGCAAATACATTTTAATAATGATACGAGCAACATTAATTAATTAAAATGATAATTTAAATAATATGAATACATTTTCCTTCTACATTCAGTGCCCGGGCCCCCTTCAGACATAAAGGTGCTGGTGCTGTCTTCAACGTCGCTGCTCGCAAGCTGGAAGAAGCCTGATCATCCGAATGGAGAACTGCTTTATTACACTGTTTATGTCAAACCAACTTCTAGGTAAGCAATCACATTTACATATGGTTCACTCAGTAGCTTACAGTTTTATATTTTCGCTACAGTTAGGGGGTTATGAAAGTCAATAAAACATTTTATCCCCCATGTAATCACAAAATACAAAAATAATGCCTAGCTTTTTTGACAATATATGTTGGTGGCATTTGTGGAATTAATTTATGATCTAACATAAAGCTTTGATGCAGTAATTGGCTGTTCCTTTACAAAACAAAACACTACAAACATTATAGACACTACTCATATTATTCAAAAGCATTATAAAGATTCTACAAAAAGTAGCGAGAATACTGGAAACCATACATGACTTTGGGTGTACCCCAGGGTAACATCCTCGGACCAGTCTTATTCCTTATCGACATTAGTAACAACTGACACACAACTTTTCTCAAATATACTTGTATTTAACGGTCCACCCACCTCCAATACAGCAATGGTCCGCCACAGACGCACCGGGCCGAAGCAGAGGGTCGAACTACGGCCGAACTGAAGGGACTTACCACCGGCCGGACTTACGAGGTGTGGGCCACTGCCAGCACGAGAGCTGGGGAAGGAATGGCCACGAGAAGAGTGTCCCATACGCCTACTCATAGAGGTAACTAATTAGCAAGTTAGTATACAGTTTTTGTCACAAATTCAATAAGGCACGAGAAATGGGTGTATTTCTCGAAAGAATGGGGAAAAGAGCATATCATTCACAAAACTAAACATAAGACGACAAATTGGTGGAGGCATTTCTAATCACAAATCATAACCATTGTAATAGTTATTTTCACATTCGTCTATTGAAAAACTAAAAATTAAGTATAGGGATTAATTTAAAAAGTTACTCTTTCCAGACCAATCACTAGACACAAGTTTCATCTCAATCTCCAACCTTTCGGTTAAAATTAACAAGTAGTCTCAACTTGTAGTAAATAGTAACCTAACTGAAACACATTACAAAATCATTACTATGAGGTCTCACAGTGCGCGTGGATGCACAGGGTCCCAAAAACTTATTCATAGACAATACTTGAGCGGCGGAGAGACACACGAACCAATCACAGAGTTGCTGCTTCACATAAGCAAGCATCGTTTGTGAATACGGTTGTAAATATACGTGTGTCTTTCCCAGTGGTGGCCGGCGTAGCGTCTCTCGGAGGGACCATATCAGTAGGAGTGGGTAGTTCCCTGCTGCTAGTCTGCCAGTGCGTGGGGATACCTCCGCCTAGGACGGTGTGGTACCACAAGCAGAACATCATCACGCATCATCCCAGGTTCACGAGGAATCATGATGATAGCTTACTTATCAATAGTAAGTATTTTATTATCCTAGTTCATAGAATATTTGGCTTTTTGACTTTTGAATGATGCAATGACTATTTAGGATTAGCTTTTATTCAAAATCAATTTTAAGTAATTACTATCTCTATAGAAATGATACGGCATAGACAATAGAATGTAGAGTCATGTGATGTTCACATGCTTTTTTTATAGATTTTTTCAAACTTCACAACAACTCCTCTAAATGTTTTTTTAGAGGTGTGAAGTACTATTTTTCTTGTTGTGGCATATTCAAATGACCATGTTTCAAGTCTCAACCTAAAAGTTAATACCCCAGAGGTTTCTAAATCCAAATTCAAATACAGTCACACGACGATTCTACTTCTTCGATTTCAGTTCATCAATGTAGCGATTAACCTTCCAGATATAGACCAATCCTTGAGCGGCAACTACACCTGCCTAGCCAAGAACTTGTACGGGTCAGATGCTGTGGAGTACATTGTCGTAGTCCTGCCCTTGCCTGAAGCACCCATCCTTCGGGCGACCCCTTACAAAGACTCCATACTGGTGGAATGGGAACAGCCGTTTTATTCTGTCAATAATAAGAGTGTGGGGCAGAAGATTAGTAAGTATTCCATTCTTGAGACCTACAATATTTAGTTTAGACCGCTCAAAAACCTCTATCTAGTTGCTAAAGAGTTAGACTCATTTAGTCTGAAAGGCCTAGATTCAATTCCAAATTGGGAGAGTGAGTCTAGTTTACTTCAATACCCTATCTCCAAAAAGTTCATTACGCAAAAAATGCTCCTTTTCCGAGATAAAAGCAACATAATTTTTTTGATGTTCCCGACGTCTGAAGTTTCTAAATAAGGATCAAATTCCTGTGACACATTTTATAGCAATCTCTTCACTCCGAGAATATCAATCATGGTCATCATAATATTTCTCCTAATAAATAAATAACGTAATTATTTTAATACTTTTTAGTGGATGAAGGCGGCTAAGATTTTGTAGCCTATATGTTTTTTTAAACGCAGTTTTTTTTCCCACAGCTTATAGTCTAACCTGGAAGGAATCCAACGGTCCCTGGCAGGAGGCCTGGCCAGCCAACAAGCTGCCCAACCTGTCTGGGGTCCAGAAGCATGCTCTAACAGGTCTGAAGTGCGGCACCAAGTACTCCTTGAGGATCACCGCCACGAACAAAGTGGGGACGTCGCAGCCAGCGTATCTGGACGTCAGTACTTTGGGAGGAGGTAATGATTTTGACAATTTGTTATAGGTAGTTATTTGTTACGGAGAAAAAACACTTCAACCGAATTGAGAACCTCCTCCTTTTGTTGAAGTCGGTTAAAAGAAGTTCTCTCTATTATAAGTTACTCGTATGTCATATTTTTGAGCATAAAAACTAGTACCAAAATAGATGGACCTGAAAATATACTGGAGGCGAAAGATTCTAGGAGGAACCCATCACAATCAAATAAGCGACATGAAATCGCATGACGTATTTTTATGCTATTGGTAACACGCATGTGAAAAAATTACCAGAGGGCCTAGTGTGAGTTGTCATCAAACGCACTCACTAGTGAGCGCGTTTATAAAATGTATGAAAATTTTAGTTTTTGAACGTTTCCCGCTAGGGGCGCTATACAATCCGTCATACATTTAATGTCATTTTTTGACGCGTTCACTAGTGAGCGCGTTTGATGTAAACTCACACTAGGCCCTCAGATCGAGATCCAAGTGTATATGAATATTATAGCTAGATGGTTTTCATCTGGGTCTAACTAAATAAATCCACCATGAAATACTTTCTCCCACAGATTCAGGACAGAAAAAGTCATCAATTTAATCCATGCAAATGGGCTTTTACAAAGCGCTTTTGCTGCTTCTTTAAAATAGATTTAACTTTCGCCCAGGCCCAATCCCCCCGACCAGTAACGAGTGGCTGTGGAGCAACAGCAGTCATATCCAAGTCCAGCTGGCCGGCTGGGACGACGGCGGCTGCGAGCTTATCTCCTGGGAGGCCGAGTACCGCCCCCTTGGGACCAGGGGGTGGATACGGGCACATAACACTTTGGTAACGAGTTTTTTTTTATATACAGGGTGGAAACGATAAGTGATCTCACTTGATTATTTCTAAACTATACCAGATATCGAAAAACTGGTTACTGATCCTGAAAGTGCTTCACGAGCTCTTTCAAATGGTACCAATAACAGGTTACAGAATAAACGGGATCTATCCGAAAAGTCAATGTTTCCAGCTTCCATACTAAATGTATGCCAACCACTCAATATTAGAAGTGTAATTTTTTAAAAACTTAAAATAAACTCGTCAATTGCATTCTTATTTAAAATTATTTATGGAAAACATTAGTTTTAGGCTTTATTTGCTATAATATTATCAAGAGATGAGTACCATATTTGTGATAGTACTAAATGTATGGAAGATGGAAACATTGTTTTTTTAGATAGATCCAGTTTATTGTGGAACTTAATATTAATACTATTGGATAGAGCTCGTGAAGCACTTTTAGGGTCAGTAACCAGTTTTACGATATCTTTTGTAGTTTTTAATATTATGAGGCTGTACCAAATGTATGGAAGCCGGAAACATTAAATTTTCGGCTAGATACAATTTATTCTTTAACCTATTATTTGTACCGTTTGATAGAGCTCATGAAGCACTTTCAGTATCAGTAACTAGTTTTTTAACATCTTGTATAGTTTATAAATAATCGAGTGAGATCACTTATCGTTTCCACCCTGTATAGATCGCTTCATCCACGAAGATGCGCCCCACCATTCTTCTGCTAATGTTTGAGTGTTATCGGTACACGCTAAATTATCCATGAGTGCACACGCACACTACAATATGACGCTCGGATTGCTCGGATTAAACTCCCCGCACCCCGCGCGACCGAGACCAAAAATTGGTGGGGCGCGTCTTCGTGGATGAAACGATCTTTAGTTTCGTTCGTTCGTTTCATCCAAATGACGGCCACTGCTGGACAAAAGGCCTTCCCAAGGATTTTCACAACAACCGTTCCTGCGCTTCCCGCATCTATTAGTTTAGTTTCATTGAGATCGAATCTACTAATTCGTTTACGGATCTCCTCATTTCTGGAGATCCATAAACGAATTAGTCGCTGACATAGTCCTGGATTAGCAAGTTGAACTAGCAATGGGCACACATAATACGCAGCACTGACAGCTGATGGGACTTGTCCCGACTTGACTTGACGACTACGTGGCCTCCATTCCAGAACCTTGGTTCTGGAATGGAGGCCACGTAGTCGTCAAACGTAGCGTGAGACATCCATCCACATGGTGGACAGAACACCCTATACCGGTTGCAGGAAGGCGCATGATGGTCGACCAACCGGCCAATTAGGAAATAATGATGATGAACTGATTATGTAGAGTTTATTATCAATCTGGATCTCTAATCATGGTCAGTTTTAGTACATTTAAGTCTTTTAAAAATGTATGGTACCTTAATGGAGGAAACCTACAAGCTTGAATGTTACATGACATTTTTTCCAGGCTTACACCAACCTGCCTTCCTGGGGTCTCCCAAGCCTCTACCAGTCCAAGAGCCCGTCATACAGGACCGGGTCCTTCGCCATCGGAGACCTGGCGTCTGGGACCTGGTACCAGGTCCGGATCACCTCTGTGAACGAGGCTGGAAGTGTTACTACTACGTATAGTTACGCCACGAAGAATGAGGATGGGAGTGAGTTGGAATTCTTTTTATTGATAGACATTGCTCTTCGTTCGTTCAGTTAAGTCAAGTGACGTCCACTGCTGGACAATTGGACATAGGCCCCTAAGGATTTGTACGACGACCGGTCGCTACCCGTCTGCCAGATCGTCTCTTACGCCCGTATTCACAAACGATGCTTAAGTAAAGCAGCAAATCGAACGCACATTGTTGAATAAATAAATAAATATCCTTGGACATTTAACACTGCGCCGCTAGCCCCAAACTAAGCAAAGGTTGTACTATGGGTACTAGACAACGGATATAAACATACTTAAAATACTTTTTTTTTGTAAATACATACTTAATATACATAGAAAACACCCAGACCCGTCACAGAAATCAAAATTCATCATTTCAATTTCTGCCCGGCCGGGAATCGAACCCGGGACCTCTCGGCATAGTAGTCAGTTCTGAACCACTACACCAAACGGCCGAATAGAGTTCGTGAGTGACCCTGTGCGTCCACGCCCACTGTGAGACCTCATGTAATGTTTGTGAATACTGGGGTTACAATCGCCTTAGTACTTTTCCATGAGGCCTCCGTGGTGCAGTGCTCTCAGTGACTTACTCTTTCGAATACAATTTTGTAGAGAACGATTCCCTATGTGCGATGTCGAGATCGCGAGATTATAAATTTTTACGTTGCTTTGCCTGCGTGGCATTAGGAATAATGATTTTGACTACTGGTGAAACAATTTTTGAGTTCAGTAAGTTCCAGAGTATCTCTCACATTATTAACTTACAATCATTACCCCTGTAAATTCATTTTTCAGGTGAGATCGGGCCTCCGTCTGAACTCTTCGACCTGAACATGCTAGTCATCATCTGCAGCTCCATCCTGCTCACGATATGCCTGCTGAGCTGTATCTACATCCTCGTCAAAAGACAAAGGTAATTATTTAAGTAATTAGATATTCATTTATTTATGCATGATCTTCAAGATCCAGGGACATTGGAAGGGTCACAGGAGTTATCCACTGGAAAACGTAAGCCTCTACTTTCGTCCTTAAATGTATAGGCCCATGGACTGTCTAAAAATTTGCCCTCCCCTGGGCCAAAGTACCTTCTCCTAGGCCAGGAGTAGGGTACGCCCATGGTGCTATGTCATATTATGCCAGAAACAATCTGAAAGTTTATCAGGAATCGATGAAACTTACCCTAAAGTAATGATGTCGTAACCAACGACGCGTGTCGTCGCGAGCACCAGTCGCGCTATTATTGAAATAGCTGCCATTGCCAGCGTCACGTCGTCTTTAAGAAATATATAGAAAGCTGCGCCCCGATTGCGCTAAACATTTTCAACTGCTCCGCGACTGGACGACGAACGAACTTCAGTTGTTTTGACAAATCCGTATCGTGTTGACAGAAAGTTCGGAATTTTAATGGAAAGTGCATAAATGCGTGGTTTTGTCTTTGTTTCTGCGCGTGAACTTTACCGCGATACTTGCACTTCAGCTGGAATGAAATTGGAGTGTGACTGGAGTGTAGACTGGAGATGAAACGCGACTGAATTGGAAACATTACAAATTAGCGCATTCGGGGCCCAAATGTCATGGCAACAACTCATTTGCTGCTACTGCGTATAGTCGACTTCGAAACTGTACCTTTAGAGTAGGTACTATTGATCTCCAAATATAATAGACCTTTGGCTTAATTGTTTATTTTTTAATTGTGTATAATGCTTTATCTCATGTTGATAGCCCAATAAAATAAATATTTCCCAGAAGCGGCAACCTCACCGAGTACCGCGACTCTATAACGGTGGACAACAAGTCTGAGAGCGGCAACTTAACAGCCAACACGTCGCACACCAACCTGGCCAACGCCAAGGAGACGGCTCTCAACGCACAGAACAGAATATACAGCGCGCCGCTGCATTTGAGAAACAATAGCAAGCATGGTGAGAAAATATCTTATACAAACACAAAATAAAATGAAATAAAAAAACTATTTATGCTAACTGGTCCCACATCAACTATAACCATAGCGTTAAATATGACTTTTCAGTTCTTTGTAGTTTATTCTTCAGTTTGGTCACCTTCTAAGGTGGTCACTTTCTATTACAAAACAACGTTAAAAACCCGATTTGATCTGAGATTGCTTGAAATTGATTCAAGTTTCTTTCTTTATGTAATACCAAATACGTCCTTTGCCAGGTGCCTCTACTACAGGAGCACGACTCTCTTAATTGTTTACAGAACGCAAGTAAAGGATTAACCTACACTCCCACATTGATAGAAATTAACGAAAAAGCGGGCTTGAATTCCACCACCACCGGAGAAAAAAAAGAACCTTTTCAAAGCAATGAAGTTAAAGTAAAATTAAATGATTAAACTAACGTATGAAAGAGAACCCCTGCTAAGTTATGCATGTACGTATTTACCTAGTTATATCTATTTTTTCAGAACTGTACGAAATAAGTCCATACGCTCAATTCGCGGTTGGCTTCCGCACCTTTGGGCATGTGGAAAACCAGGACATGCCCAGTCGACACAACAAGCACGCGAGATATGATACAGGTAATGATTAAATACATCATTTTATTCAGTACATTTCCTCCATCATCATCATCGTCATCGTCATCATTATCAGTCATTTAGTCTCCACTACTCCTGGAGTGGCTCCTAATTTACCAGAGGCTAATGGAGGAATTGACATTTACTCCCCACCCTGGCCAGACGGATTAGGGAGGCCTGATGTTCGCGTTTTCTCACTTAGTCGCCTCTTATGACATACATGGAAAGAGTCGGGGTGGGGGGTCCTATACTACTTACACTACAAGAATCACACGAATTTTATTCGGCCGATAGTTGGATCGGCTTTCAATTTGTGTGAGGAATCGGCCGATAACAAATTGGTGTATTATGAGAACTTCCATACAATGACATGTTCATTTGATTAACAGCCCGTCCCATAATAATATATCAGCCGACCTAAAGTCTGTAGTCTGTGGGATCTCCCGATGTTAATTAATAACTACAATAAATACCTACCTTTACAGAAACCAGTTTTCAAGTGTGTTCCGAGTCGGAGGACAGTGATAGTATCTCTAAGTCTACATTGAAGAGTGTTCCAAGAAGTAAGTAAGGGGTTCCATACCAAATAGAACTCTTTTATTAATCTCCGTCGATTTTTCTGTTTGTATACGGGCTTTATCAAAATCTGTATAATAAAAAGCATATTTTGTAATTAACTGATTCATCAATATACAGCTCCAACCCCTTGAACGAATTGCGCTGAAAGTCACCTAGTTGTTATGTTGCAGGCGCCCGGATTTTTTTAAATTCATCCCATAAGGGGAAGAAACCGAGGTCCAAATTTTATATAATATAATTAAGTTATATGTATAAGTACTTACTCTAATACATGTTACCGATAAACATCTCGATGATTTTAAAGTGCTTGAATATGAATTAGCCGAATTGTGTTTAAAATTTGTTTTATTTTTCTTTCCAGAAGTCTGCAGAACCCCCCACCATAGGTAACTAGGCAAAGAAGTCTTGGATTTTTAAAGTCCAAGAGTCAACTTAATTCAAATGAGCATTAGGATCAAGTTTATTTGAAGTTTATAAAAGTTTAACCCCTTCGTTTTGATTTGAGAACTTTATAAATTGTTTATGCCTTTAGAACCTGTTATTTTGTATTTTAGAATCTTTAGATAGGACTGTATATAAAATGTATATAATTCTTAACTAGTTCACGGCTGGGCTTTACATTTAATAGTTTTTACGCTTATAAGTACTCACTGCCCTTTGGTGCTTTTTTTTTTACAAAATTCGAATGTATTTTTGAATCGTTTATTTTGAGTACAACTTTTACTGGTCAAGTACTTCATTGCTAATATTTTAATGCCTATTTAAAAGATAGAATACTGTAAGAATACTGAAACTTTACCCAGCCAATGTGTCATTGTAAATATCATAAATGCACAGGATGTTTGAATAATAAATAGCTGTATCCTGTGAGACAACTTTCGCAAAGATAAAGATTTACGATTTCTACCAGCATAAAATTCCATGTTTACATTATTTATGAAAATATCTACAGCTGTCTGGTAGCTTTGTATAGTCTATGAATAAATGACGCTATATCCAAATTGGGCAACATTTTTCACGGAAATCGTCAAATTATTTTCTCCCAAGATATTGCAATAGTTAAAACAAACACCCTGTAAAATCCGTCAAGAAATAATTCTATAATTATTTCAACTTCAACGTAATAATGATTATTATTGTAACACTCATAAGAGTTATCATAGAATGCGTTAAAAACCCGACTTTTTTCATGGTTAAAATTTAAAGACATTATTTCTTGACGTATATTTCGAACTTTGCCTAGTCAAACTCATTATTGTGTAAAACATTAGTAATAATAACTAATTGTATGAGAAATATTTTGTAAGTTCGTGAAAAGAAAATGATAAAAAATATCTACAAGAAGACTGATTATTCATCTTAATGATTGTTGTTTGATTTCTATACAATTTTGATCTAGGATTAATATAAATGTTAGATAAATTATGAGGTCTTTTATTTCAACTCTTTGGCGAATAAATTTTAACCTTATTACGTTGTGCGAGGGTATAAAATGCCCCATAACTAGGTAATTGTACTAAATGAATAATTATGAGTAAATCCTAAATTCCCCTGTGCCCTGGGTTTTTGCAACTTTAACGCTACAAAAATCCAAATAAAAGCTAAACAATTTAAGGAGAATTATGGAATGGGAAATTTTACAGCACCTACACTATATTTTCATATTAATATGCGAGAAATGAAAAAATAACAGTTTTCAAATTTAAAATCAGAACCAATCAGAACTTTATTTTTCGTTATCACTTTCCAGATTTTTTACATGCTTCAATACAAAATTACACGATCGTTGTTTCCAAGTAATAATCTAAAATATGTATTTGTATAACACTGATTTTCCTCTACAACAATAAAATATAGAATTGAATTTATTTTCCTTTTAGGCATTTGATACCTATAAATACCTACTGAATATTATCTCACATTGAACTAAGTATCACAGGCTTATTTTAAAACTTGAACTTTAGAAAATACTAAAAGTAATGTAGTTTAAAACTACGTCTAATCACATTAAAGGTATGTAGGTACAAATAGTATGTAATTTAGATACCTAACATTATCCGATTTATAAAACTTTTTCAGTTTTTTTTTATTTTTCTTTACATAATATATTCTGACAGTACTGTCAACGTAAACAAATAAAGCTTAATCAAAATCAACTGCCTATGTTAATATGTTAACATATTTAGGGGTTTTCTTTTTAAAGCTTTTTTTCTAGTCTATTAGATACCACAATAGAACTACTTAATCAGTGCTTTTGAAATCCATTCCAACTTAATACAAATTCATTTGTTTATAATCTTTTCAATCCACTCCAAATGGTGGACAACACTAGTGTAAATCCCTGGGTAGCCTTTCGTTCCGCAAATAGTGTTGCCCGTGCTAGTCACCCCCCACAATTCCTTCCTATTCACCCCCCAAGTGAGGGGTCCTCCAGAATCTCCCCTGCAAGTATCAACATCCTTTTCTCCCCCTGCACATATAATAGGCTCTGGTAAAAGGAGGTGTTTGTAAGCTGATTTACATCTTGAGGTTGACCAGTAGGGTAGGTGGAGGTTTTTCTTGACGTTGCTGTAAACGCCTTTGGTGAAATCTTCTCCCCAGCCTGATGCTGTCAAAACCGCGTTTTCTGGAAGCTTGCCTGAAGGTAGACACACCGGTCTGATAGTATCTGTAAGGGAACAAAAGTAAATTAGGAAACTGTAGTATTAAAACAATCTTTTCGATGTCGGAAATCAATAAATTGAGTTCGCGACCTGGTGACGTCATAATCCCCAAACGTATAATGACATCACTAATTTAATAATTTCAAAGCTACTGAAAATATAAAGTTTGCAGCAAATTGAAAAGCACCTCAAATTTCAGGTCTACATTTTAGTGTTTTTATTAATGGTGTCAACTACCCAATGCTAATACGTTGTATTTTTGTCAACAAAACCGTGTACGATTTTTTTCTGTCTAACCCAAAGCTTAACAGACAAAGAATGCCCAATGGCATTAAGTTCGCCTTGTGACATTAAAGTATAAATAGATAAACAATCAAACACTGACCAGTATAAGGCGCGTCTCTCTCCAACGTCAGTATCGCCACATCGTGGTCCCTATCGTCGTAAAGCGGGTGCACTTCGATCGCAGCGACGTTGATCTTCACTGGGAGATGTGCGCACACGCCGTCTGCGCAGTCCACCGCTGTTGATAGGTCGTACTCGCCAAGACGTGCTACTAAGCTGGAATGGAGAAATAATAGGTTAGTTATGAGTGACTGAACCAAAGTAACCGACATAGCTCGCAGAATTGCTAAAATCAAGTGGCAGTGGGCGGGGCACATAGCTCGTAGAGACGATGGCCGTTGGGGCAGGAAAGTTCTCGAGTGGCGACCACGGGCTGGAAGACGTAGCGTGGGCAGGCCTCCTACTAGGTGGACCGACGATCTGGTAAAGGTCGCGGGAAGAGCCTGGATGCGGGCAGCGCAGGACCGTTCATTGTGGAAAACCTTGGGGGAGGCCTTTGTCCAGCAGTGGACGTCATTTGGCTGAAACGAACGACTGTTTCGTATCGTATCATTCATCTGTAAGTTTATTTTGGCGTTTGGATCAACTGTATGTCGAACGATTTGCGCACGCAACGTAAGAAACCTTTAGAAATAGGATAGATACTAACAAAAAAAATTACTACTGTCTTTTAAAAGCGATACCTGAATAGAACGCAATGATACTCGTAGAGTCATGTTTGTTGTTATGTTACACCCAATTTAAGTTCCTTGTGCATATTTAAAGTACCTCCTGCTTCGTCACACTTCCACATGAGACACTACCGCAGCATACGTACGCACTTTACGACTACAATCGAACTACCAATGGAAACTTTTGGTTAATACCTATTTGTGGTTTACTTAGTGTTAGAAAAGCTCTTAGCATTTTCTTTTTCATACAAATGTGTCACCAACTTTTGGTTAAGTTTAATTTATGTTTTAGGTTGAGCTGCACCATTTTATTTTTGATTTTAACAAACGTCAAAAGTCTGTCAAACTCCATACAAAAAGCACCGGTTATTGTTAAAGTTACGGTCAAAGTAAGTTGGTGCAACTCAGCCTTATTGTTTTTAAAAGGGCTTTTGTTGATGATAGAGCTTGTTCTAAGTGTCATGTTAACAGCATTGTTGTGTTTCCGCAGGTAGAAGTAAGATAGACAGTTCATCTGTGACTGAGTATTCCAGGTGAAGCATCTTCCATCTTCAGCCTGATCATAGGTTTCCAACAGGTGCCAAGAGCTTCGTCGTCGTCGTCGTCGTCGTTTCAGCCGAAAGACGTCCACTGCTGGACAGAGGCCTCCCCCAAGGATTTCCCCAAAGACCGGTCCTGCGCCGCTTGCATCCAAATACTTCCCGCGACCTTCACCAGATCGTCGGTCCACCTAGTGGGAGGCCTGCCCACGCTACGTCTTCCAGCTCGTGGTCGCCACTCAAGAACTTTCCTGCCCCAGCGGCCATCAGCTCTTCGAGCTATGTGTACCGCCCACTGCCACTTGCCAAGAGCTTAGTTGTAGATAAAAAAAATGAAATCATAATTATACCTTGTAGGCTTAGAAGCTCCAACGCCCTTGTTGACGCAGTGCGCAGCCGTGAGGATATGCCGCTTCGAAATGAGGGTACCGCCACATCGGATGTCTGCGCGCGCGCCGCGTCGGTAGTACTCTAAATGGACCAGCCAAGGCTCGTGATGCAGCGGGTTGGTGCTCGCTTCTACGCCGCATTTGTGATCTGGATATTGATTTAATTATTAGGATGATGATAAATAACCAAGCGGTTTTAGATCGCTTCTATGCTAGGTTTTGTGTTCCATAGAACACATACATAGATGGTTTTGATTAATAAGACAATGCCTCGAAATAATATAGCAGCCATTTAAGAATAATAATACTGCTCTACCGGAAAATTTCCTACGAATGAAGAATAAAATGTAACCCAGTTAGTGTGTTTCCTATAAGCACATCTTTGAACCGTTTCAGCCTAATATTTTACAAATAAAAAGCTTCATACCTTTCTTTTAAATTAATTACGGTTAGTTAATTCATTTTAATTCAAAATGAGTTAAAAATTCGCGCGAGTTACTCACTACTCGCCAGTTTTAAATTCACATGGTACAAATCCGGGTCATTTTTTAGGGAAATATTAGGAATTTGTATTCCACAGTTCATTCATTGATATTACACGCATGTAAATAACAACATGAATGAATGACGTGTATGTGACCACAACATGCACTATGTTTGTCTGGACTTCCCTGTCCAGGCCCATTGAGAAGAATTTAAGATACATTCATAGTTTTATGAATGAACCAAAACAATACCAAACTAATATCATAATCGATTCTTATTCTGATTTCATTACAATTATGATCAGATTAAAATCGGAAAATCGCAAAAAAATTAACACCACTTTAATTAGTTTTGGACGGTTTTGAGATATGATGCCGTTTGCTAGATATTCGAAAGTCGCATCAACTGGGCTTCGAGGAACGTCTAAATGAAACTCACAAAAACATCAGTTCAGTATCTACAGTGTAAGTATGCTAAAGTTTTATGTTATCCTAAAAAGTTGCTAATTTTCATGGTTACATTCATGGTGATAGACCTTAACCAGGAGACGAATTTACACTCATTACTAAGTGGTGGTATCACAGTTTTGGGAAAGTAGTATTCTAATAAAATTAATCTATGAAGATCAACTATTAACCAGGAACTTAATTTAGTTTATCACTCAACCCACTAACTAAACGAGCGTATTACGAGCAGTAGCGCTGTCACACAGCTTTTCCAAATAAAAAACTTTTTTGTCAAAAAAGAGTAAAACATATTTCCTACTTACCATTTTTAGTCAAATCCAATACACTCCCGGCCACTGCTTCGCACAAACACAGTAGCACAAACAACTTCATGGTAGCGAATTCAAATTTTTGAATTAACCGATATCCTGACCTCGTCGTGAAGGTTTTGAGGATGATGTTGAGGATCAACTGTCAAGGCAGAGCCTTGTATAGTTGTCCTGTAGGTTGTAGTTGTCCGGAGGACAGCTTGGGAGTGACCATTAGGTCGGTTTGCATGTATTTATAATAGTTTTAGTACGCGTCCAGGCAGCGGTTCGGTTTACAGCGGATGCGGACCGCATGCGGCGCTTGTGAACGTAACGTAACATTTTTAACGCAATGTATATACGGTTGAGCTCATTTAAGCACATGCCACGGCAGGTTTGGGTCCACTAGGGTAGTTTACTTGAAAGTTCACCATCATCAGGTCACTGGGGGAGCATGTCTCTCTAATTTACCAGTGGATGGAGGATTAGATCACTCCCCACGCTGGATAGATAGGAAGGCTTGATGTTCACATGTTTGCCCCTTACACAGGAGTTGCAGCGGTGGGAACGAGAGGTGGGAATTGTCAATGTCTGCCCCTTAGTTACCTTTTACCGTCTATTCGCGTTGTCCTTATGACATCCACGAGAAAATTAAGAGTGGTCCTACTATGCTTGAACCACACAGCCTCAAACTGGTAATTACCCATTATTTGATAAAATTATAGTATTCCTTTTGTTGTCTAACTTGAACTAAATCGTCCTAAGTCCTAACAATAATTTACTTATTTGTTTGTATATACCACAGGCCACAGCTTTATTAAATTTTCCTCTAATGCATTAATGCTATTTCATTGAATATTTATTATACATATAACTATCTGTATTATTACGGAACTAATGTTACCATAGTAACATTTATTGTGGGTAAAATGCCGAATACCTATGGCTTTATCTTGTTTTAATTTAGAACTTTTATAATATTTATTACGTATAATACTTACAATACATGTGTTGATTTAATACAGTGCGTTTCTATTTAAAGAAATACATAGCTAACAAAAACAGGAGGTTGTTAATTTTCTTTAAATGCATTGTTACTTTTATAATTGTCTGTTTTAGGTGTGCACGCTAGACTATACCTAATAGTCCTCAACCCCAAGGTTTATAACTTCATATACCGTGTAATGGCTATGCTCACGTGACATTGGCAAACGTGGAAACACAATAGCCATAGAGGAGAAGAAGAAGTACTTTTATAATCCTGTAGGTATTATTTCGATTTTCAATTCAACCATTAAGTGGTCGCGGATAAAAAACAGTACTTTTTCCGTTTCCAGCACTGAAAATTGTTCCTACCTCTAGCATGAACAACTTTCGTCTTCGAATCGTTTGCGTATTCGATAAAATTCGATACTCGATTTTTGAATATACGATAACATGACAATTTTGATTCTTAAAATAAGTTTCATGCAACCATTTCTCATACTAAGGTCACTTTACGACACGTTCACAAGGGCGCTGTTGAAGTTTTCGTACTAAATCCTTTGATGGCGATTCGAATACGTTATTCAGGTTTCTAAGCGTGTAGGCATAGATACTCACATTTTACGTACCAAAAGCATAATAATTGACATTCTATTACAAACTTTCATCTTTTCACCTAGTCAAGTTTTAAGTAGTTGCTGGATAAAAAAGCGGTACATCGTTATTTGTTGCGCTCCTTAGGAAGGCTTATGCCCAGCAGTGGACTGCCTGATGACTTTTAAATGTTTCACTAAAAAGTAAATTTCTTCAAAAACCAAAAATAACCAAAATTGGGTACAGTGGAAACAATGGTAGGAAATATGTGTGTAAAAACCCACACATTGGCGTGTATTACGAAACACTTACTAGAAAATTTACCAAAAGAGGCCTATCATAGCACGCTTCATACTACGTAGGAGGAAAACGATCGGAAGGAATCCCTCGCGACGTCATAATACGTCACAGCTCGTCACCACTCTTAAGTCCAGTTTCCTCCGAGACCCGTGACAATGGGACTTTTATTCACCACTATCTATTGAAGTTTGGACCACTTTATTGGGTTGGCAACCACCACATCTGATATTTAGGGTCCATTCATGAAATGAATCATAAAAATATCCTCAAATACGAGTAATTAAAGTCTATGAACTATTTAATGAGGTCTAAATGACCTGGGTATGTTTTGTAATCTGAGTTAGGTCATACTGTACGTGCTTGGGGAACCACCATTGTATTGCTGTTACTAAGCCTATGCTTAAAGTGACGATTTTTAAACGCCTTTTTGCAGAAAATGAATTACTTTTATGACGTAATTATTTGTGCGAGTTTGAAGTTTGTTATTTGGTAGAGTTTAAAGACGAAATTGTTATTTTGTGTCATAATGTCGTAAAAATATGGTCCATTATGAAATGATCTTAATATTCCAAGTTAATAATATTTATGGATGTTTATAATAAATAATAAAAACACATAGGGGACATAATGATCATTTATTTCACCAATCAATTACATACGCAACCTTCTTATGGAATACACTTTAAAAGGACAAACAGTTTTGAATTCTCTAAACACGAACCGCTGTGGAAATAACTACTAAATTGTTGATATTCCATGAAAATCTATAATAAAATTTTGCCTATAAATTATTATAAACAATGCAAGAAGTTTCACTCTGTAGCGCTTTATTTAAACATTAAACTCATCAACGTTTTTAAAATCTGTCCAGCAGTTTGGAAATAATATTAAAAATCGATTTACGGAAGATACTAAATATTTCATTTCAACTTACAAAAACATTATGATATAAAACTTTTGTGTACTTTGATTCCATACATTTGTGTATTTTCTTACGAATCATACAGTAATTATTTCCACAACAGCAAAAAGCAGGGAAGTATACCGCAACAACATGAATATTTGGACGTCCATGATACAAGATTATAATCAGATATGTAAAGAACGACTACCCTACAGCTATATCATTATAAACACACTTAACAACTACTTATTAGTTAAGACTATCAGTACTGCTCGTTAAAATGAAAAGAAAAACAAAATATTACAAATTATACATTACAAAATGGGGTAAAATATTGTTGCTATTAAACACTATAAACTAGTACGCCGGTGTTGCCATAAAATCTGGATAAAGCGTTAAAATAATGTTACCATGTACATACGAGCATATCTACATTATAGTACGTACACCCTACGTCATTATGTTTAGCCTGAATATTAAAAAAATATTAAATTAACTGTTAGCCTGCTCCCCCATTTAGCTACCTAAAAACCTACACTCTTATAAAAAATTAGGATGTTATCTATAAAAATGCTATACGTATTTAAAATATATAACCATATAAATATTCTGATGACAGTGTATAAATATCGATATACGATCTTTTAAATGTGAGCATCAAAGTGTTATAAAGACAATTTTAAAAGTACCTACAGCCTATAATGGTGGCAACACACATCAATACATTTATTAATAAATTACTTTGACACCCACCTTTTAAATATGCGAGAAAAATGACAAGGTCTCAAATCAGTAGATATGTGTCTGATATTTATTTTTTACCTTCCAAAAAACGGTACATTGGACTACCAAAGGGTAATAAAGATATAAAATGGCGATATAGTACGTCGATATAATATTGTTGTAAGATTTTCAAGATCTACTATGTAATAAGTATGGATTGGAAATAAGATAATCATTTGTGAATACGGTATGAACCGGTTGTTATTAAACTTTTGTTTAAACACTCGATTACATTTCCAATCGATACACAAAGCATCGATTAACAATTCGATATAATATCTCGCCTAAAACTACTTCGGAACAGTGTAACAGAGCGCGCATGTGTGTTATTTAACTAACAATAATCGAAGAGTTACCTTAATTTTCTATAGTCCATAATCCGTCAATATTAAATTCGTAAAATCTTGTCTTGCAACTCCATCTTAGTATTGGGATCATGCAAAATCATTATTAAATGTAACATCCATCAATGGAATTCAATTATGATGATAATTTCATAACTATACATCAGTAGGTAGATCTCATTCTTTTCTTTGCAAATGGAACAAACCGTTGCTTTGTGCAAAATAACTGTCAAAAACTTAAGTTTAAAAACGGTATCTTGGTTCATTTTGGCGAAATCTTGGAAATCTACAGATGTTTAGTTATAGAAATAAAATAGATAATCTCAAAACTGAGGACTATATTATGTCTAATTGGCATAATCAATCACGAGATTTTTTGAGAATTTATCTATTTGAATTACCTATTGGTCAGACCAGGTTTCTATGACACATTCTCCTCAAGTCAAGTTTTCTTTGAACATTCTGAACTCAAGTTCAATAACTAGTTGTTAGTTGTAGTTCCACAAAACGGTGCTCAAAGCTCGATTTGAAACTCAGCCAAATATCAGTCCAGTTTTCTCTAAACATTAAAATTTAACCAATCACAATCTTGAGAAGTAAATCGAGTTTTGAGCTTCTTCTTTTAATTAAATTGTCACCTGAGTAACACATTTCCCCTTATGACACACGTTATGAACTCATTCATCATTCAATACATATGTTTTGTTCTTACACAACAATTACCTAGTACGGTCATATAAATAATCTAGGAAGGACATACACAATTTTGTCAATAGTTAGTTTTGGAGTAGCCCACGTAAATAGTTGTTTAGAGCCCTTTCAATTTTATTCGTTTTTATAATAAATCAGTGACGTTGCATTATAAAATAGGTGAAATTCAACTCACATAACTTACAATCAAGATATTCTATTGAGCCACGGTTTTTAAACAGAAATTGCCCACATTTTTATTAAATGTCCAAGAGCCTATCTAAATCTAAACCAGTAATGAATATGATTCAAAATATTTTACAAATTCCATAGCTTGATAGAGTTTAGGAATTCTTGATTGAGTCAGCCGGTCAAAACGTCCAGGCAAATACAGGTAATATTTCAATATTAAATATTAACCCGTTTAAATTAATTAAAAGAGTTTAGGTCCTAAAGCAGTTAGTGATGCTACATAGTCACACAAAACTCATGGATAAGATAGCCAGTTCCTCCGTGGTTGATGATTCCGGGTGAAGCTCGCTTCCACCTTCGGCCTGATCATCACTTACCATCAGGTGAGATACAGGGCAAGAGCTTCCTCGTTATGGATAAAAAAAAAAGAATAAAGGCTTGCCACAAC